GGGTGGATTATTCCATGTGAGAAAAAATGTGTGTTCTGCCAGTGCTAAGGTGTTATGTCACCCAGCTGCGTCAAGGGTCACTTCCTAAGGCCCTAGAGTGTTGTGCTGCCTGACTGTCTGCATCGAGTGAGAGAGGCAGCTGGGTGTCGGGTGTGCTCAGTGCCACCTGCACAGAAGATGTCCCCATCCACTTGAACTCAACTGTGACTCCTTTTCCAAGTAGCCACTACCAATCCGTCAGATTTGATGCATAAAATGAAGCCTATTTGCTACCCTAGGCCTAGAGAATACTTAAAGTCAGGCATGGGAACATATGATTTTCTTCAAATACAGTTTGCAAAATGATACCAGCTTTAACTCGCCAATATGGGGGCAAATTCAAAGCTTTTAAAATGTGTTTTCTTTAGATTCCAAAGCCATTGAGTTCCAAATCTTTCAGGCAATTGGAGTAGGAAATTAGGCTCTAGAAAATTAGGAAGTTAGGTAAGGCATTAGGAATAAGAAAGATACCTGAAGGAGTTTTGTCTTCAACAAGCTTCCAAACCAGAGACGTACACATCTCCCCTTAACACATTTTGGCAAGTGCCGTTGCTAGTACACAACAGAGTATCATGTTTATAGAGAAGAAGAGAAGAGGGAGTTTGAACTGACTTTGAAGGATGCTTGGTAGCTGGACAATGAGGAAGACAGCTGAGGCATGGGGGAAAGAGTGTGTAGAAGTCCTGGAATGCTGACAGGACCTGGGAGTGGGACAAAGAGGAAGGCGATGAGTCTGGAAAGGAAAGCAAGTGCTGGTTGCTCTGAAGAGGACTTCTCTGCTTTAATTTGAACCTCTGAATCCTTTTCCCCAGCTTAACTCAGGTACCCTCTCCACCATGGGCCTAAATGGTTCTTCTACCATCGAGAAGGCATCCCATGATCTATGTCCACGGCAGGATGGATTCTGGGCCATCTGACACATTGGCCATCTTCAAAGTCCACATTGGGAAGGGTGGGCATCATTCATATCTGAGACTGCTGGGGAGCTTCATAGTAGGAACTGCTCAGTTGCCTGAGTCTGAGTTGCTTAGGTGCTTGTGTCTGAGTCGCTGATGTACCAACAGGTCTGTATCATGTTTCTTTGAGAAAATGAAGATGAAACCCTGAAAATCTCTCTCTACTGTTGGCTCTATAATGCATTTCCCAATCTTAATGGTTTGGGAAATGAAAATCCATTAGTTAATACCAAGACCGTCAGACCTAGTGTGACTCCATCAACAAAAGAATGTCTCTGCTTGGATAGGACCCAGAAAGAGGGGAGAGGAATTGGGAGTAGATGACATTGAAGTGAAAGGAGACAGTGAAATTTGCCAAGTTGCCGAAATCTAACCAAACCAAAAAGCAAATCCAAACAAAGAACAAAACAAAGCAAACCCAAAAACACCCAGGCTAGATGATGCAAGTGGAAATTACATCTGGGCCACTGGGAGTGGGAGATTCAGCTGAATCAGTTGCCAAATAATAGAATTCCCCAAATCAGGCATGGAGTTAGATGGGGCTTTAGTCAGCTGTACAGTTGTAGTGACTCAGCACGTAGAATTGGAAGGTTGGGAAAGGGATTGGTCTGATGAGCAGAAAGCAGATGGAAAAAAAAAAAAAAATCACATGGGCAGATATGACGAAAGAGGCCCAGACTGGGATTCTGCCAAAATTTTCTTTTCCAAACACAGATCCAAATTTCCCTGCTCATGAATCTTCAGAGACCTTTAATTGCAGGTATATTTTTCCCCCTCCCCCAATCCTATAATGCAACTCTCAGATTTCTCCACAGCTCCAAGTATTCTGGCCATATAAAGCTGCTTGTGATTCCCTCGCTGACCTCCAATCCCTCACATTGGCACCTTGTTCAAGCTGCTCCTTCCACTGGAGTGTTCATTGTCTCTTCCTGACTCCAAAATTTCCCAGAGCATGTTATTCTGTTCTCATATTCTTAACAGTCTCTCAGGTGTAAATATCATTGACTCTTCCTCTTGATCATAAACATACTTATTCAGGGCTTGTATCTTGTTCATTTTCATGTCTGACACACCTATCCCAGCACCTTGCATGCTATGAATCCTTGGTGTGTACTTGTTGGAAGTCATCAGAATGGTTTTCAAGCTCATCCCAGGATTGAAATAGGGAAATGTGTGTGAGATCTTCTGGGAGAGTTCTCAGAGGACTTCTGTGTGCTGATGGAGGCAGACAGAGCCTAGCACAAGGCCAAGCTTCACTGGTCCCCATCCAGAGTGGTCAGGTTTCTTTACATTTGTCCCAGTGTGGTGACTCAGTCACACAGATGTATAAACTTTATATATTTTGGTCTAAGAAATACATCTACTTCAGGAGGAGCACTGTCCTTGGTTCTGTCTTTCAGCAGAAGGGGAATGTGTCTGGGTCTAGCTTCAAGCTCCACCTATTAATGTCTGAGTCTGGGGCCTGGGACAGCAAATGCTTGGATCTGCTTAGATTTCTGACTCAGAGAGGAGAGAGAGAGGAGTCAAAGGGTATCATCGTGTCCTGTGCTGAGTGAGATGAGGTGGGGGAAGAACTGATGCAGGGCATTCTAGGAGACTTGGGTCAACGCATAAGGCTTCTGGCTGACATTCCATAGGGCAGATCTTTTAGGGTCTTCTAGATGCCACTAGTCTACCACTTCTAGAATCACTGGACACTCATTGCAAACCTGAAGTGATCAGAGCTGCATGAAGTGCTCATCCTTGTCCAGAGTGGACTGCCTAATTGTTCCTTTAAAGACAAGGGCATATCCTTTAGGAAAGGTTGGGACAGATTTCACTGGAAAAATATTGGGGAAGGAAAAAAATAAATCATAAAGGATTTGGGGAAGCAGAGAAATAGAAAATAAATGTTGGATATCACCTGATAAGCATTTGTCACATTTTAAAAAATGAATTAGATGAATGATTAATTCTTAAAAGTGAGCAAAATAGAATAGGAGGTATAAGAAATGGGAAAGGTAAAAATAAAGAAAGTAGTCATGATAATGGAAGCAATTAGAGGATATGAGAAGAGATAAAGCAAATTTAAGTGATTAAAGAAACATCCACCTCTTAGGTTGACTCCCTTTGGGCCTGGCCAATTGGTGCCCCAAGCTCTAGAGCCACGTCCTCGAGCATGAAATAAGGAGCTTCTTCACAATTTCTAGATCCCTTAGATTGGAACCAGCAGCCACTCTGTGCTGTCCCTGAACTAATCAGTGTGGTCCAGGGTGGGCTGGAGAGGGGATGATGGCACTGATTGGCCAGGTCAGGATCACAAGTCCTGCTCTGACAATGATGTATTAGGGGAACATGGGGTTCATGGGTTAGGCCTGGTCACCTGCTCCATCACAGGAGCTACAGCTGGAGCTGCATCCAAGCACACAGGATGAGAATGGGGAGGGTGTGCTCTTAGACCACAGAATGGAGTATAGGTGCTGCATTTCCAGAACTCCATAATGCACACTACTTCGGCCTTTTCCATCTTTTCTGCGTATTTAATCCATCTTTGTTCTTTGAGAGTACATTTAGGCATTGCTTCCTCTAGGAAACCTCCCATGACCTGTCTTTCATTCCAGAGTGGATGCCCAGAACATAATCTGTGCATCTACTCTGAAGTGGACTTATAATTCTTTCTTCCAGAACTGGAGCTCCTTCAAGGCAAGGACTTTGCTTCTTTTCTCTGAATCCCTAGTACTGAGTTCAGGGTTCAACATAACAATGTTTGTTGAATGACTGAGAAGGAATGCATGCATGGATGCTTGCAGGAACGTAGCCCACTGTGTGCTGTGGCCTCTCATTCCCAGAGCGTACACAGCTACACCTGGATAATTGCACTGAGGAGCAGTAGAACGCTTGCTCAAGCAAAAGCTGGCACTTCTAGGGTTGGAAATTGCAGGGTAAGCATAAAGACTGAGTGGGAAAGGAGGTTCACCACCCTCATGGCATGGTCACTCTGAAGTGTGTCACCAGTGCTACTACTGTCTTGGACTGCTAGACCCCAGAGGGCATCTGGTCACATCAAGTCATAGGATTATGTTTTCATTTTTCCAGAGCCATTCCTTTCTTTCTATTGCACCTCCCTCTTCTAGACTCCTAATAGTCTCTCTACACTTCATCTTTGCTCTCCCTTTTGCCTGACTTCTCTAAAATTTACACATTGCTGGCATAAGAATGGTCCTTAAATCCCAATTATTATGTCTCCCGTTTCATGAGAAACCTCTGTGCTTCCAAGGTCAATTCTAAGTTCTTGAACTTGAAATTAACATTCATTTTCAGTGCATCTCTAGAATTCACATGCATGCACATGTCCTGCTCTTCCCCTTCTCTGGCCTGTGCTCAGCCTCTAACTGCCTTCCCCTTGCTACGTGCATGTTTGTCTTCATGCTGCTGGTCCTCTGTCCCTGTGTCTCAGTGTCCTCACTTTCTCCTGTTGTTATCCAAGCCTCCTCCTTAATACCTACATTTGTTATCGAGTATTTTCTTATCTCTTCTACTCACACTGATATTTTCTTTCTTTGAACTATTTTATCTCTAGAAAAGTTGAGCCTGTATTTGTTGTATCAATCTATCAATCACTCAATTGGCACTTAATCATACACTGCTTTTTACAGTATTTAGTGTCTCCATTATTAGGTTAAAAACTCTTTTATTTCCCTCCACAGCACTTAGCAAAGTGCTGGGAATGCAGTAAATGCACAATAATTGCTAAATGAAAAACTTAGGGGAAGGCTGTTGAATGAAAAAGGAGCAAACGAGTAGAATTCTGTGACTTTAGTTTGGTTGTGAATTCTATTTGTACCTTTTGTCACTTAACTGAGCCTCATTTCCACATTGGTAAATTACAGATAATCTTACCAGTTCTACACAGGGTAGATTATGTTGAACGTTAAATGAGAAGTCATACAGGCAATCTCTAAAGGTTAAGTGCTTAGTGTTTCTCTTTAAATCTTAATTTTAAAATATTTTTCTTCTTACTTTTAGACTTGCAACCTTGTTTCTTGAAAGAGGGCCCAACAGGATAGGCAATATTTACAAAAAGGCTGTTTACAGACACTTTACAGATGGGACCTATTCCACGGAGATCCCCAAGCCCTCCTGGCTTGGGTTCCTGGGCCCCATCTTGAGGGCTGAAGTGGGTGATGTGATTGTCATTCATCTGAAGAACTTTGCTTCTCGACCTTACTCTTTGCATCCACATGGTGTTTTCTACAATAAAGACTCAGAAGGTAAGTACCAGTTCTCTGTTACTGAGGTCTTGTTTCCATTTCAGAGCAAAGGTAACTGTCCATTACAAGTAAAGGGATTCTAAGAGCACAATGATTACACACATTAATTTGCCTTCCTCTCCCTCCTTCCATCTCTCCCTATCTCCATCCATCGATTCCCCTTTCTCTTTTCCCTTTCTTTCCTTCCTTCCTTCTTTCTTGCTCTTCTTTATGTTGACACAGAGCAGGTAGGTTGGGTGCAGACACATGTCCCAGGGCAGCCAAGCTTGTCTGGCTGCTGGACTCCCTTGGCATATGCTCACTCCACTATGCCCCCAGAAACACAGCTTTCTTCTTTCTAATGCCCCTCAGCTGCACCTAAATGGCAGACAGAAAAGCAGCCCGCTGCTGTCACTAGTTGCACCCTTGGCTGAGGGGTGGTGTCTCAATATGCTGATCTCCACTGCTCAGCTAGGCAGTTGTCTTGGTACTTGCTTTGTGAAACAGCCCTGTCTTCTTGAGTTTTGAGGGGGTAGTTTCTGGATTCCTCCCTAATTAAAAAAAATTCTTTAATACTCTTAGACTTTTGAGATAGAAGCACTTCTTAGACATCAGAAGTATTTTTCTGCCTGTGTTATTTAGTTTTCCATCATTATAACAAATACCTGAGATAAATAAACTTAACAAAGAAAAGGTTTATTTTGGCTCACAGTTTTGATGTTTTAGTCCATGATCAATCAAGCCTATTGCTTTTGGGGCCATGGTAAGGCAGCAAACCCATCATGACAGGATTGTGTGGCTCAGCAAAAGTGATAAGAGAAAAAGAAGGAGATTGGACATCTCTAAATAGTGCTGCCCTGGGGAACAAGTCTTTAACATTTGGGAGACATTTCAGATTTAAATGACAGCAGCACCTCTTGGAGCAGTCTTGCTCATAACCAGGTGGAATGGGTTGAATGATGCTGCACCTGCTGGGTGACTGTATCTGGGAATGTGTCGACACAGTACCATTAACTCTGATTCCACCCATCTTATCGTCAAGGAGGAGTTTGGGTGCAGACACATGTCCCAGGGCAGCCAAGCTTGTCTGGCTGCTGTCCCCTCCAGGTCTGGCTGCTTATACCCCACCAGGTATACACACAGCTAGAGGAGAGAACTCTGGCAGTGAACATGGCTTTTCCCTTTGTTCTCAGTCCTTTGCTAACAACTGACCTGTAGCAAGGACTTGGTAGTTCTTAGTTGTTGAGGATGAACACATTAAATTATGCCAGGTAAATTTTAAGAAGTTTTGCAAATATAAGGGATACTTTTATGACTTTTCTTTAACTTTTTAAAAGTATTATTTTTGCTGCAGGTTGAAAGTAAGGATGTGTCAAGATAGCTGTGACTGTTTTTGTTTTTTAATATGGAGGAAATAGGGCATCTTTGAATCTTTGTCTTCATCACTCCATGTTTCTGGAAAGCATACCTTTATAGAACTGATGGTGTTCTAAGATCCACTAGTCCACTGCCACAGATCCTTTAAAAAGTTGTGGTTAAGGTAGACATAAGAAACAACTTACCATTTTAACCATTTTCACAGGTACAGTTTGGTGGCATTAAGTACATTAAATGTTGTTCAACATTCAATACTATCCACTTCCAGAACTTTTCATTACCCCCAACAGAAACTCTCTATCCATTATGCAAGACCTCCCTTTTTTCCCTCTCCTTCCTTGGTAATTTCTATAGACATCTGTCCAAGAATTTCTAGGGATCTCCTGTAAGTGAAATTATATAATATTTGTCCTTTTGTGTCTGGCTTATTTCACTCAGCATACTACTTTCAGGATTCATCTATACTTAAGCATGTCAGAATTTTATTCCTTTTTTAAGGCAGAAAGTATTTCATTCTATGTATATACTTCATTTTATTCATTTTCTCATCTCTTGGTGGATGCCTAGGCCATTTCCACCTCTTGACTGTTGTGAATAATGCTGCTATGAACACTGATATGCTACTGATCCTTATGAACATCTGTGAAAGTCAGGAGCCTTTGCATTGGAAAATATGTATGTGCACAAAATCTGGAACTCAAAGTTTAGGGATTCTTAGAGTCCTTGAAATCAGCCATGGATCCCTAAATTAAGGACACTTACATATTGTTTACCCAAAAAAAGCCTTCTCTACACCCTGTTTCAAGAACATTTCTCCCATGTTGAGGAGCCTGTTGGTTTATCCAATAGCACTTATCAAAATGGCATAGCAAAAGGAAACTTTTTTCTTTGCTTCTTTGTTAGTGTCTGTCTCTACATTAGACCATAGATTTCCAGGGAGCAGAGATTATCCTGGGATGTGTTGGACACTGTCCCCAGTGCCTGGCCTAGGTCATGGCATGTACCAAGTGCTCTCACAACACTTTAGTACCTCCCAGATATATGATGTTGGAATCATAAAGGTAAGAAGTCAAGACCCAGAGAGGGAAAGTGCCTCCACAAGTTCTTCCAACTGGTTAGGCGCTGAGTTGTGATAGACGTAGGATACTTGTCACCCATTTTCTCTTCCATTCTGGGGCTCTCCCTACCACTCCATACTGATCTTTTGCCCTCCCTTTACTATGTACAAATCTCAGTAGGCCACCATGAGGCCTTGACCCTTAACCTTACTGGATCTGCCAGAGGGGTGATTGTTAAAATTCAGAGCAATGGCCAGGTCCTTACTTCATGTGACATAGGGGCTCTAGATTGACTTTTACTTGCTACCAATACCAATACACATTTTTAAAAAGGTTTGCATTCAATCATAAGTCTTCCATGAAATACCCAGTAGGTGTTAGAGATTGACAATAAAAGTCTTGGCAATAAAAGATGAATGAATCTTAGATTATTGTTAAAATTAATGATAAGTGTAAGGGATTTATTTTAGGGTCTGAGTTCTATCCCACTGATCTATATGTTTATCTTTGCACTGATGCCACACTTGGTTTATCCAATAGTACTTGATTAATGTGGTTTATAGAAAGTTTCCAAGTTGAGGAGTGTAAATCCTCCATCATTGTTCTTCTTTTTAGGACTTTTGTCTCTTCTAGCCCCTCTGCATTTCCATATACATTTTAGATCATCTTATTAATTTTTACCCCCTAAATAATTTTTTAAACATTTATTTTTTTAGAAGTAGTTGGGCACAATACCTTTATTTTATTTATTTATTTTTATGTGGTGCTGAGGATTGAACCCAGGGCCTCACATGTCCCAGGCGAGCCACAACACCAGAAACTTTTATCTTGATGAGGATTGCATTGAATGTATTGATAAATTGTGGAGAAATTTATGTCTGCATTTTAAAAATGAATTGACATACTAACAATATTGAGTCTTTCAATCCATGAAATGAACATGAAATTTGGATCTTTAATTTAATTTGTCAAAAATGTTTTAGATTTTAGTGTCCATAATTTGAGTTTTTGTTAAATTTATTCCAAGGTATCTTTTCTGATTCTCTTATGAATGGAATAATCTTCTTAATTTCATTTTTGGAGTGTTTTTACCAATGCATAAAAATACAACTCATTTTTGTGTGTTGATCTTATATCAGCTTGTTAAACTTGTTTATTAATATATGTTAGTAGGTTCCTTGGGATTTTCTCTATGTAGGTCATCATGAATAAAGACAGTTTTGCTTTTTCTTACCAATCCATATACCTTTAATTTTTTTCTTTACCTAATAGGCTAGTACCTGTGGAGCATTACTTAATAATAGTGACAAGAGCAGACATTCTTGCCTTTTTCTCAATTTTAAGAAGAAAGCACTTAGTTTTTCCCCTATTGAACATGATACCAGCTGTGGATTTTTCTTGGTTACCTTTTATCACGTTGAGGAAATTGCCTTCTAGTCCTAGTTTGTTGAGAGTTTTTAACTTAAGTTCTAGATTTTGTTGAATGAGTTTCTGCCTCTGTGACCCATGTAATATTTTTCCTTGATTTTCTTTCTATTCATTGATTTTCAACTTTAAAATCTGATTTTGTCATGATATAAATCTTCTTAAAATGTTGCTGGATTTGATTTGCTCATATTTTGTAGAGGATTTTCATGCCTGCCTTCATGTGGAGTGCTGGTCTGTAGTCTTCTTGTGATGTCATCATCTGCCTTTGGTATCAAGGAAACACATCATAATAAATCAGGAAGTCTACCTTCTTCTATTTTCCAAAAGACTTTGTAAAGAATTTGCAGTATATCTTCTTTTTATCTTTTTGTAATCAGGGATTGAACCCAGGGACACTTAACCACTGAGCCACATCCCTAGCCCCTTCTTATTTTTTATTTAGAGACAGGGTCTTGCTAGGTTGCTGATGCTGGTTAAGAACTTGTGATTGTTCTGCCTCAACGTCCTCAGCTGCTGGGATTACAGGAATGCGCCACAACCCCTGGCTTCTTTTTTCTAGTTTTCTAAGGTGAAAGCTGAGGTTATTGATTTGAGACGACTCTTCTAACATAGGTACTTAAAGATCTAAATTTACTTTTTAAGCACTGATTTTCCTGAATCCCATAAATTTTGATATGCTTTGTCCCCATTTTATTTCAGTTCCAATTTTTTTACCATTTCTTTTCTGATTTTTCTTTGACTCATGGTTATTTAGATATGTATTGTTTTATTTCCAAATATTTGGATGATTTCCAGGATTTCTCTCTGTAGATATCAAATTCAATTCCATGAAGAGTGAAGAACATATTTTGTGTGATATCAATGCTTTTAAATTTACTGAGACATCTTATGCTTGGAATATCATCTTTCTGTGAGAATGTTCTGTATGCTCTTGTAAAGAGAGTATATTCTCTAGTAGCTGGGTAGAATGTTCTATAGATGTCATTTAGAGTTGTTTTATAGTGTTTGGTCTTCTGTATACTTGCTGACTTTCTACCTAGTAGTTTTATCACTTATTGAGAGTGGAGTACTGAAATCTACAAAAAGTATGTTTGAGTTGTCTATTCATCTTTTCAGTTGTGTCAGTTTTTGCTTCATATTTTGGAGCTATTTTGTTAG